CTTGAGCCCAGGAGTTGGAGGTTGCTGTGAGTTGTGATGCCACAGCACTCTACCCAGGGGGACGGCTTGAGGCTCTGCCTCAAAAAAAAAAAAAAAAAGTCTAACTGCAGAGAATACATAAATCACTGGCGAGCTAGAAACAAATACAAGTGAAAACAGAATGTAGCAAGAACAAGGAGCTGAGAGTTAATGAACATGCTCAGAAACATCAGCAATAAGAATTTTCTGAAAAATTAAAACATGCCAAACACCAGTGATTCAGAGATGAGAAAATTGTATTATTTGGTAATGGATCCTAGAATTGGATGACAGGAGTGCTTAAAAAGATGCAGTGTGTCTGGTTTTCTTTCTGTTTCTACTTTTATTAGGCTTTACCTTAAGAGATCCTCCTGCATGTATCCATCTACCTGCAAGCAGATGTTAGTAACCTATCACAGCAGTATTTTAATTAATGCACATCCTTCTCTATTCACACATTAAAATCTTTATATTTTTTCATTTCATTCTGATGACACTTTTGTAACAATATTATAAAAAAAAAGACAGGCCGGGCACAGTGGCTCATGCCTGTAATCTCAGCACTGGGGAAGGCTGCAGAGGGAGGATTGCTTGAGCTCAGAGTTCCAGACTTGCCTGAGCGAGAGTGAGCCCCGACTCCTAAAAAAATGAAAAACCCAGCCAAACGCCTCAGGGAGCGCGCCTGTAATCCCAGCAGCTTCAGGCGGCTGAGGCAGCAGAATGCCACAGCCCCAGTCTGAGGTAGCAGTGAGCTATGACGCTATTGCACTCTGCTGGGGGTGGGGTGGGGGCGCGGATAGGGTGGGATTCTGTCTCAACAACAACAACAAAAGCAAAGAAATAAAAATAAAAAATAAGCAAGGAAATTTAAAAAAGACAGATTAATATGAAGAAATAATTGTGTACATACACACACAACAATGATTCAAATAGGTAATCACAGAGAAACAAAAACACTAAAGGAAGTAGGACTAGAATCTTTCTGTAACACATACGATTCAATGTAGTTTCAGTTTTCATTCCAAATTTCCCCAGTAGTTTCTGCCCAGCAACTGATGAGAAATAACACCTCTGAGCCAATCAAAAAATTAATTCTGCCAAAGAGGGACTTGCTTGCTGTTTCCTCATAAGCAAAGGACCTCTCTTTTCTTTCATTTTCCTTTCTTCCAGATCAGAAACTATTGATCATACAAAGGATCAAAAACTTGGAATCACCTTTATTCTGTGGGCTGTGATTTTCAGATGAGAATACCAAGAGGTAAGTGAGGGAAACTGATTAGAGCCAGGGCTACAGGACCTGGAAGAAGATAAGCTGAAAAGCTTGAGAGCTTGAAAGTGGGCATGTGGGGAACTATGCATGGAGTGAGGAACCTGTGTGTCTCTGTGTGTGTGTGTGTGTGTGTCTCTGTGTGTGTGTGTGTGTGTGTGTGTGTGCTGCGCGCTAAGGAGGCAGGAGTAGTGGAAACAATGAGGACCTGCAGAGGTTGGGATTTGGTTGATCAAAAGGGAGGTAACCTCAAGGAAGAAATATTCCAGCTACATTTTCTTAAGCATGTTATCAATGTCAGAAAGGGACAAAGGACAGTTAGAGCATGTTCTGGCTATGTCACGGCATCTATTCTAAAAAGAAACATGCCCTAAAGGTTTCTATATAAATGTGTGCATCTCAGAACTAGTTATTATACAGAAAAATCTTAACCAATGTACATATACAACAGGTGGGGAAGGTTAAATAATGGATGGTCTAGTCATAAAAGAAATTTCCGTGCAGCCATGAGGAATCATATTTTTAATGAAGAGTAATTATTTAAAATTTGAACTTCATTGGATTCATATATTTCACTTTGGTGTCTTTTAGGGATAGTATCTACTGGGTTTTTTCCCCCCTATTCTTCATTTCCCCCAAACTGAAAGTGAGCTTTCCAGTGGCTACAAGCTACTACCTTGTATGAATAGACCATTATTTAATCATTTCCTTATTTTAGATATTTAAATTGGGTGTACATTTTCCCATTGTAGACTTTACTATTTTAAACATCCTGAAACATGAATCTTTGTGTTATTGTATGATTTCTTTTTCTTCAGTACTAATTGCTAATACTATTGCTTCAGTACTAAGCACATGTGGAATTTTGGGGTCAAAAAATGCAGTATTTTTCAGGCCTTTGCTATATACATCTGGCCAGAAGACTTCCAGAAATATTTTCTTTTCCACTAGCAAACTATGATTATCACTATAGGTGACTGAAAATTTTATTCTCTTATATGTTTCTTCATTTTTAAAATGTTGTATAATCATGAAAAAAATAATATCCTAAGAAAAATGAAAACTAAGTTCTCATTCTGAAGACAGTACAGAAATTGCTAGGTCAGGAACTAACAATAACAATAATGATAATAATACCCCTCTATGGTAGCATAAGGAACAATTTTGAGGAGCAGAACATTTAGTAAAAGGCAATGCTTATTTTCAGGGTGGATGCAGAGATCTCAGGCCAATATGGAAGTTAGTGTACCTTACCTTCTCCTCATCCCTCCCCACTTTCTCCAGCAAACCTTGTTTTCAGAGAAAATTCCTAGACTCATATATCCTCAGAAGCAGGTACCATGACTATGGGACTCATGATCCTTTGTTTCTGGGGAAACCACTGAGGAGTTAGTATTTAGTGAGCACCTAATAAATTCTGCTGATTAAAATTACTCATAAAATAATTAATTATTATTAAGTAATACATGACATTTTAAAAATTCAAAATATTAATATAGTTTTAAAAGTAATAAGAACAAAAGGCTAAAGTGTACCTTCACTCACTAAACCTCCAATCTTCAGGTTAGCATGCATCTTTTATACCTTCTTGAGATATTTACATGGACTAGTATGTACAGATCCATAGCTTTGTTTTAGTTTTTAGACAGAATCATTAGTACAGTCTTGCAGTGTGCTTTCTGATGATATAGTATATCTCAGTTATCCATGTTAGTGACAGTAAATCACTTAACTGCTGCATTGAATCCCTGCACAGAGATGAATCCTGTTCTTCCAACTGGTCTCTGCTGGATGGCTGCTTCTGTTGGTTATGACTTTTATACTTTAAAAAAATAATGATTCAGGCTCAGCGCCCATAGCTCAGTGGTTAAGGTGCTGGCAGGTTCGAACCCAGCCCCGGCATGCTAAACATCAATGACAACTCCAAAAAAAAAAAAAAAAAAAAAAATAGCCAGGCATTGTGGTGGGTGCCTGTGGTTCCAGCTACTTGGGAGGCTGAAGCAAGAGAATTGCTTAAGCCCAAGAGTTTGAGGTTGCTGTGAGCTGTGACGCCATAGCACTCTACCGAGGGCGACATACTAAGACTCTATCTCAAAAAATAAAAAATAAAAATAAAGTGAGACTCTGTCTAAAAAAAAAAAAAAAAAAAAATATCCATTCATGCACCTGTGGCTCAAGCAGCTAAGGTACCAGCCACATACACCTGAGCTGGTGGGTTCAAATCCAGCCCAGGCCCACCAAACAACAATGATGGCTGCAACCAAAAAATGGCCAGGCGTTGTGGCAGGCGCCTATAGTCCCAGCTACTTGGGAGGAGGAGGCAGGAGAATTGCTTGAGCCCCGGAGCTGGAGGTTGCTGTGAGCTGTGATGTCACGGCATTCTACCCAGGGCAACAGCATGAGGCTCTGTCTCAAAAAACAAATATCCATTCACTACCATCCTTACACATGTTTTCTCTGCACCTAGGCAGGTACTTTGCTGCACTAGATATCAGGAAGTGGAATTGCTGGGCCAACTATACATATTCTAACGGTAATTTTTCACAATATTTTATAAGTGACTAAAGTTCAGATCAAGTTTTATGATATGACCAAGATCACCTCTTTTTGATGCTAATACCTAATATGGTGGGCCCAGCTCATTGTGGGTGGTTAGTAAATATTAGTTGAGTGACTCAATGCAGGGGAAAAAATATAATATAGGTGAGACCTGGTCTTTGATGACTAGCCTTATGATGAACAAGTGGTGGGTTCAGCCCCTAACTGACTCCACAGCCTCCAGCAGGGAGTCTGCCTGGATCCGACTTACAGTGTGTCTGGCTATGATTTGACCATGCTGATGGCTGAGAGTTGGGGCCTAGAGCAGTCCACAGAGTTGTACATCCACAAGTGGCAGACACAGTGGAACCAGAGAACCCAGTTAGGAGGGTCCCACATTCATCAGAAGGTGATGATGGAGGCTTGGGTCTGGTGAAGCAGGGGAAGTTTAGAGAGGAGATGGTTTCTGAAATTTTCAGGCAGTAAAGTGAAGGATTTCCTGATGGGATAACAAGTGTGCATTTATCATATACGTGTTTTTAGGGGTGATTTTTCATGTTTTAACTTGAAGGTTAAGAATCTCTGGGGCCAAGATTGTTGGCAGGGTTAAGATCTTCTTGGGTCAGCACACTTGAGATAGCCCTAGGGCAGTGGAGGTTTCCATATGGAATCTAATAACTCCTTTCCAGGGCACAGTGTCTGCATCATTCCTCTGGTGTCTCCTGACACACAGCACAGATGAAAATGGCGAGTGACCTGACTTGCCTTCTGCTCGACTTCTTTGTCTGTCTAGTCCTAATCCAGCTGCTCACTCCTTGCTCAGGTAGGTATGATTCTGTTTTAATGTGTGTGAAGCAGACAATTACCTAGATCCTTTGACTTAATCCCATACCCGGAAGTTTCATCCCAAACTGAAGTTTCACATAACATTAAGAGACAAATGGTGCCTCTGTTAGGATCGTGTTCCTCTCTAGATTCTTTATACCTCACCTTCCCTGCCTGAGAAGAACTCTCACTCTGATGGCTTCATGGCCAACACTCTCTGATGGAGATTTCCCCACTTTGCTGACCAGCTCACTTTGCTGTACATGGACCCGCTGGGCCCATCCTGGCCATGGTAGGCAAAGATGCCGATCTGCCCTGTCACCTGTCCCCAACGATGAGCGCAGAGACCTTGGAGCTGAGGTGGGTGAGATCCAGCCTTAGACAGGTAGTGAACGTGTATGCCAATGGAAAGGAAGTGGAAGATAAACAGACTCCAGAGTATCGAGGGAGAACGTCCATTCTACGAGATGACATCACCGCAGGGAAGGCTACTCTCCGAATACACAATGTCACAGCCTCCGACAGTGGAAACTACCTGTGTTATTTCCAAGATGGCAACTTCTACGAAAAGGCCATGGTGGAGCTGAAGGTAGCAGGTGAGCCCCTGGGTTTTGCTCTTAGTCATTCCTTGGTGGGACCTAGGGGCAGAGTTCCTGCTTCAAATCCAGTGCAGGGCACTTCTGGCTGGCCCCTAGTAATTGCCTGCCCTGTCTTTGGACTAAGTTGCTCTTAGACCTTTGACAAAGGCATAGGTTTTCCCTCAGGAAGAATTCTCTCTGCACCCTAAATGCTGTGCCCAAGTGTCTAAGAAGGGATGCTAAGGACAAGGGATGGGAAGGAGAAGAAATCTCCTCAGTGACACATACACAGTTGCTTTGGTTTACTTGTGTACTGAATGGTTTTTGTGGCCTTACCAGATGTTAGCTACTGTGGGCTCTGGGAGGCTGAGCGTAGGAGCTATATCTGCTGCTAAAATTCTCCAGCCATTAGCCCCCAGAAGCATACCTGCAGTCAAAACAGCAGTGTTTATTACTTTCTGCAGCAGGAAAGACACTCACCATAGAGAACTGTGGGGTGTCTAAGGTGTTGAAGAAGACTTAGTATAGAATTTGGACTTTGGTTAGGGGATGTGGGGGAGGGCACTCAAAAGTGGGTCACTGATCTGGATTAAATGTTGCCAGGAAGTTGAGAGAAGGAATTAATCCTGTGAGTGGGAACTTTAATAAATAAGGAGACTAGGGCCAGACTAAAGCTTTAATTGGTAAAAGGACAGCAGTCCCTCACTGCCAATGTAAGGTGTTTGGTCCTTGATGTGGTATAGACAATGATCATCTTTCTCTCTGTTCAGAGACAGCTCCCACACCTCCTGTCTTTGGGTTTAGGGTGAGTGGGAATAGCCCCACTGTTTCAGGTCTTTGGGTACTGCCCTAGCTCAGGACCACACTGATGTAAATAGCTCCTGAGTAAAACCCTTCATGAATTTTCTAACATGAGTATGTCATTGATTCATGTTGAGACCCTTCCTTCCTGATGCTGGAGGCTCCAAAGAATTCAGACTGATTTATCTTCCACAGCACTGGGTACTGATCTTCACATGGAAATGAAGGGTTATAAGGATGGAGGAATCCAACTGCAGTGCAGATCCACTGGCTGGTACCCCCAGCCCCAAGTGCAGTGGAGAGATGCCAAAGGGGAGATCATCCCAACTGTGGTGGCACCTGTGGTTGCAGACAGAGTGGGCCTGTATGCAGTGGCAGCATCTGTGATCATGAGAGAAAATTCTGGGAAGGAGGCATCCTGTACCATCAGAAATTCCCTCCTCCAGCAGGAGAAGACAGCTAGGATTTCCATCGCAGGTCAGTACCCCTCTGACTCTCAGGTGAGCTGAACTGTGGCTACTCAATAAAGCCACATATGTGAGTCTCTGCTGTGAGTAGAAGGCCTGAAGCAAGGACCTGGTGCCCTCTCCTTACTTTAGGGAGCTTGTCTTCCCCATAAAATTGTTTGTACCACAAATATTTACTTAACATATTCTGTCTACCATAAACTGTGGTAGGTTAAAAGAACTGGGGAGAAAAGGTTAGGATAAGATTCTTATCCAAAGTCAAATTTCAAATTGAGAAAGAACATACATATTTCCAGAGAATGAATCAATTGTTTGATACATAAAGAGATTTTTAAAAATTTAATAACAATTTAAGAAAGGACCTGAATTATTAGTTTATGGAAAAGACATAACACACAAAAGAATGCTCATTCTCACTCATTAGAGATGTGTGTATTAAAATATTTTTCACCTTTTAAAATTTCAAGAAATATAGGCAGTACAAAATGGGTTTTTATAACATGGATGGATTGCTTAGTAAAATTAGGGCCTCTAGCATACTTGTTACTGGAATAATATACATTAGGCCAGATAGGTTGCTATACTCATTCAGTGCCAGAGACCAAGAGAGAAATGGCAGCAGAATTAAGCTAACTCAAGGTCAGGAATTCATGGACTGGGAAGGAGGCTCAAAGGAATCACCCAGAGTGAGCTGAAGAAGCATGTTCCTTTTTCATTTAGCAAAAAAAGTTTTTTGATGAGAAAAAGCTTTAAAAAAAAAAGTGCCAGAGAATTGAGTTGAATGTCACTTTCTCATCCAACAGCTTCACCCACCAACTAATGCTTCTGGAATATTCTTTAAAATGGATTCTGGATGCAGTGACTAATGAGCGTCAAAGCACTGTAAATCTTGGATAATTCCATCTAGGACTGGGATGCTATTGGGAAGGGACAGAAGTGGCTATCAGATATGGCTTCTGATTTTGTATTAGAAGAAATAGGGTCCAGGGTTTCTGAGGCAGCTTGTGCCAGAAGCATTAAGCTAAGTCATGGCTCTAACCCTAACCCTGATGTAAACTGGAGGGAAACCCAAATGTTCAGAGCCAAAGAATGGTCCATAAGCAATGAGATAGTTTAGCAGGAAGTCATTTCCTCCTGTGTGTGGCAAGTTAGATAGTGACAATCTGACCCAATCATTCTCTGCCATGGGAGGGATAAACAAAGAGAAAGGGTCACTTCATAGTTTTTTATAGATATGGTATACATACAATAATTCCCTTTTATAGATATGGTATACATGCAATAATTCCCTTTTTCTTTGCAATAAATCCAATGAGTAAAGGCAATTTGGCTGTGTCTCTTCCTCTAAGCACCACCAGACATAAAGTCCTTCCAGGTTAGGCCCAGACATGTTGACACACAGAAAAACCATTTCTACTCTGCCCTGTTCAAACTCCAAATTGCTGACTCCTGGAATCAATGACCATAGTGCAACAGTTGTATAAACTGCTCATGTCCAGGACTGTGTAAATAGTAACCAGTACATTTACCTTACCTCAACAGAACAAGCTGCACAGAACACAAAGTAGAAATGATACTGGAATCCCAAAAGAACCAAGTTTTTCTAGTTCCCTAAGGTATGAGAGTAGAATGTTTTTCTTAGCATTGCTATTTCTGTATCTCAGAGATGTTGGTAGCTTGTGTTTCCGTTATCATTGAATTCAAATAATGTTTTAATTTTTGTTTATTTTTAAGAATTTTTTAAAATTTCCATCTTCATTTTCTCTTTGATTCATAGATCATTCAGCATCAGGTTCTTTAATTTCCATATATCTGAATAATTTTGAAACTTCTTTTTGGAACTCTAGTTTTATTTCATTGTGGTCTATTTTTAAAAATTTGCTGAGACTTGTTTTGAGGCCTAACATACAATCTATCTTGGACAATGTTTCAAGTGTGCTTGACAAGAATACATTTTCTGCAGTTTTGGGGTAAAATATTAGTTTACTTGTTCTAGTGTCTCATTTAAGTCCAGTTTCTTTGTTGATTTTCTTCCTCAATTATCTGTCTGGTTCTGTCTTGGAGTATTGAAGTTCTCCACTGTTATTAAGGTGCTGTTTATTCCTTTGCATATTAGTTCTGTGATCTGGGAGCGCCAATGTTAGGTGCACATATGTGTAGGATGTTATATCTTATTGTTGAATTGGTTCCTTTATCCATATGTAATGACCATCTTGTCTTTTTTTTTACTATTCTTGAGTTGAAGTCTGTTTTATCTCTCATGTGAGTAGTTACTCTTGCTCACTTTTTATTTCCATTTGCTTGGAATATTTTTTCTACCCCTGAGTCTCTAGAACTCTTTACAAATGAGATGGATTTCCTAAAGTCAGCAGATATTTGGGTCACTTTTTTTTTTTTAATCCATCTGTCAATATGTACCTTTTAAGTGGAACATTTATACAATTTATGTTTAAAGTTAATATTGATAAGTGAGATACTGTTCTAGTCATGATGTTGATTGTTACGGAGGTGCCTTGTATTTTCACTTGTGTTGATGTTTTATAAGAGCTCTGAGTCTAGGCCAGGGGCAGTGGCTCACGCCTATAATCCCAGCCCATTGGAGGCCAAGGTAGGTGGATTGCTTGAGCTCAGGAGTTCAAACCAGTCTGAGCAAGACAGAGACCCTGTCTCTAAAAACTAGCCAGGCATTGTGGCAGGTGCCTATTGTCCAAGCTACTTGAGAGGGTGAGGCAAGAAAATCACTTAAGCCCAAGAGTTTGAGGTTGCTCCCCAAAGGGTACCCTGGACCTGTGACCAGAGAGGTAGGGCCCTTCTCAGTGCTGACAGCATAGCACAAGGGCCAACAAAGTGAGACTCTTTCTTTAAAAAATAAAAAATAAAAAAAAGCTATAAGTCATTACTTTTAAGTGTTTTTATACTTATGAATACTGACTCTTGTTTTCAGTGTTCAGAGAGCTTCTGAGTATTTCTTGTAAGGCAGGTCTAGTAATGACACATCCCCTTAGCATTTGCTTGTCTGGAAAAACTTTTAATTCTCTTTATGGAACTTGTTTTCTCAAGATACAAAATTCTTAACTGACAGTTTTCTGTTTCAGAAGATTAAAGATGGGACCCCCAATCGCTTCTGGCTTGTAAGGTCTCTATTGAGAAGTCCGCTGCCAGTCTGATGAGTTTTCCTTTGTAAGTTACTTGATGTTTTCATCTTGCAGCTTGTAGGATTTTCTCCTTACCTTTCAGTTTGACTGATGACTATATGCTGTGGTGATGTCCTACTTTCAGTGAATCTTGCAGAAGTTTGTGGGCCTTCTTGTACCTTGATGTTTAAATCTCTAGCAAGACCAAGGATGTTTTCTTCCATTATTCTTTCAGATAATTTTTCTGTGTTTTTTGCTTTGTCTTCTTCTCCCTTGGGGATAACTATGAATCTGATATTTGGGTATTTTAGTATTTCTCTAAGACTTTGTTCTGTTAGGACCAAAATTGCCACTGAGAGACCACCATACACACATATAAAAGCAAAGGAGTGTCTTTATTCAAGCATATGCTCGGGTCACTCCACTGGACAGCGTAGCTGTGCAGGGGGCGACCCCGATACAGAGACAAGGGCAGTCTTTTATAACAACTTCAGGGGTGTTCTAGTTACTAAGTGAGCGATTGGTCAAAGGTGGTTCCTGGGACACTTACGGGATGCTGATAGACATTCACGGGGTGCTGATAGGTTTGGGCCCTTGGCAGTTAGAAACTTTCCAGGGAAGGGCTGTATGCTTGTTCCAGATAGGCTATCTCCACCTGGGCTGGCTGTCCCCTTCCTGGGTGGTGCTGCCTGCAGTTTTTCCTGGAACTGGGCCTGAAGCTCAGAATGGAGCCTACTACAAAATGGAGTCACTGCAGCCTCTTCAGTTCATCTCTCTTTTTTCCCCCTTATTTTTGACTAGGTTAATTTGAAAGTCTTGTCTTCAAACTCTGAAATTCTTTATTCTTTTTGGTTTGGTCTGTCCTTAAGACTTTCCATCATATTTTGAAGTTCTATAAATGTCTCTTTCATTTTCAGGAATTCTGTTATATTTGTGGTTAAAATATCTATCTTTTTAGTGAATTTTTCATTCATGTTCTGAATTACTACTTTCTTGGTATGTTTGTGTTGATCTTCAATATTCTTATCCACCCCATTGAGCTTGCTTGCAATTCATATTTTGAATCCCAGATCTAACAGTTCAAAAATTCCCTTTTGTATGGAGTCCATTGTTAGAGAGCTAGAGTGACCCTTTGAGGGTATCAAAAAAGCCTGCTTTTTCATATTGCCAGAGTTCTTATGCTGATTCCTTCTCATCTGTAACTTCTTTCCTCAGCTCAAAATAGATAGCTTTGCTTAACATGTTCTCTGCTGGGAACTCTGTGGCTCAGTGTAGAGAGGAGAGGTACCACTGCCTTTCAGCTCATGCCAGTGGCTACCCACTATGAAGTTGCTGGCAATTTGGATTAGTTGGACCTCAGATCCCAGGATCAGTGTTCAGGTGCCAGCAGTGGTGGACTACATTAGGAAGTCTCCAGTTGCCAGGCCCTGGGTGGTATACTTGAGTCCTAGGGAACCAGAGGGAGACTAGGCTGGCAAACTTGCCTTACACCTCCCAGAATTCAGGCATTGACCTCCCACAATTCAGGCATTATAATGAGGGGTGGGGTGATCTCCTGTTCCAGAAAAATGCACAGGCAGGAGAAGGGCAGATAAACTGTGACCCTGCAACAGGAGGGGTGGGACTCTTATAACAAGATGTAGAGGCAGGCAGCTACGGGATCCAGAAAATATTCACCCCTCTCTTTCTCTTAGTGACAGCAGTTTCTGCCTCCAATGTGCCTAGGTTCCCAGCTGTCACCCTGACCTAGCTGAAGTAGAGGTGATAGAGGCAGGTCAACCCATGATCTGCCAGGCTACCAGACTGTGGGCTGAGGTTAAAATGCTCCAGTGGGGAAGGTGTGATTATGCCAAGGACTTGCCTCCAGGCAAGGTTGGTTTCTTCCAAAAGAGGCAGGTAATTCAGAGGGAGGATTGTTAACTCTACCTTTTCTCAGGGGAGGTGCCTGCTTTTGTCCCTTGAGGCACAGAAAAGCACTTACTGTGCCTTTTTGGAAGGAATGGAGTGAGCCCAAAATTCTGTAGAATCTTTGGTGTGATAGGTGCTCTTTTAGAGGTAGGGTAGCCTCCCCCAAGTATCTTGGCTTGATTATCCCCCTGTGGAGTCCTTGCTGGTTGCAACCAAACTGAAATTGCCACAGGTGCCGTGTCAGCAGTGGGCAGGGGAAGGGAAGAAGAGGAGAAGGCTCTGAATGGGTAAGGGAGAGTTGATGCCCTGGTCCTCTTTGTCCTAAAGAAGGCTGTAACATGCTACAGACTCCTCACAGGTAGAAGCAGACCACCCTGAATACCCAAGGTCAGGAAGATCCACAGGCTTCCCAGGATCCACTGGTCCCCCAAGTACTGGCAATTAAGGGTGTGTGGTGTGGATCCAGAGATGTAGATTACAGACTGAGGGGCTAAGACTTACAGACTGAGACACTTATAAAACCACTGCCTATCAGTGAAGCTCATTTCCCTCCCTCACTGATAGGCAATGGTTTTGCACTGCCAGGAAACTGCGGGGAGTGCAGTTTGCTAGAGGCTCAGTTCTGCAGTAGCCAGCACTGTCCCAGATGTGTGCTGGAAATGCTGGATTCTCTGCCCTCCCCAGTTTGGCAGAGAGAGCAGCCTTGTCAAGTTCATATCCAGCCCAAGGGCAGGGCGTAGGCCAGTGTCAAACCCTCAAAATAGCACCTTTAGTTCTCTGACCAGCAAACATCATTGGCAAAAAACTGTGGAAAATGCTGTTTGCTCACATTTCAGTATCAAAGCAGCCCACAGCAGGACAGTGGAGATCTTACCAGGGGTGCAGGGCAGCTCCCAGTCTCCTCTATCCCTCCATGGAGCCATGTAGTGGCTACAGCCACTCCCGTGATTCACTGGTATGTAGCATCTCAGAATGACATCTGGCTCAAGCTGCTCTAGGCTCTGATGCCTATGCAATTATGAGTTCCCCTCTGGAACATCTGTGCAATCTTCAAGCAACCCCCTATGTTATGTCAGAGACCTATAGCCAAGACTATAAAAACACATTTCAGAGAGTGGAGTTGTGGGGGCTTTTTTCTTACTATTTAACTGTATGCAGAAGTTTCTCCCTGAGGTTAGCAGGCCCCAGACCAGGCAAGTTGCCCTGAACTCTCTCCTTGCCCTTTTGGTGCTTTTCCACTTCCTTGCTGGGTGCTAGCATTCTCCCTTAGATGATCAGCTCCAAATGTGAGAATCTGCGTACTATTCTGGTCCCTCTCTGTGGAGGAGGAATATGCTACCCACATCACGTCAAACATCTTGATCCTTCTCCTTTTACTTATGATATTGGTCAAAAACAAAGCAAAACTGAGGAGACTAATAATTTGTTTTGATCACAGGGGTGCAGGCAGACTAAATCTCAGGTATTTCCTGGTATAATTTATTGTTTTCATGGTATACATAAGCACAACCTCTCTTGAGGGCTCTAAAGTAATATCTATCCCAACTCCATAATTATTGACCCAGAAGTCCACTTCTGGGAATTTATTTGACAGATTGTTTGGTATGAGATGATTCATGTAAAACATCATTTATGACAGTATTAATTATGGTTACACAAGGTCAGAAACCATACAGATGTTTACTGATGGGGAACTTCCATATGAGGAAAGATGACACAGCTGTGAAAGGAAAAAGATCATTCTATATCAGTGGTTCTCAACCTTCCTAATGCCGCAACCCTTTAATACAGTTCCTCATGTTGTGGTGACCCCCAACCACAAAATTATTTTCATTGCTACTTCATAATTATAATTTTGCTACTGTTATGAATCGTAATGGAAATATCTGATATGCAGGATGTATTTAGGCGACCCCTGTGAAAGGGTCGTTCAACCCCCAAAGGGGTCATGACCCACAGGTTGAGAACCACTGTCTCTACTAACATGGAAAGATGTCCCACATACACTCTATCCAGAGAGGAAGAATTCACAACAGTATGTGTAGAATACTATCTTTAGTCTCCACGCCCATAGCACAGTGGTTATGGTGCCAGCCACATGCACCGAGGCTGACGGGTTCAAACCCGGCCTTGGCCAGCTAAACAGCAATGAAAACTGAAACAAAAAAATAGCCAGGCATTGTGGCAGGTGCCTATAGTCCCAGCTACTTGGGAGGCTGAGGCAAGAGAATCGCTTAAGCCTATGAGTTTGAGGTTGCTGTGAACTGCCATGCTACAGTACTCTACAGAGGGTGACATAGTGAGACTCTGTCTCAAAAAAAAAAAAAAGAATACTATCTTTGGTGTAAATTAGAGGCAAAACAAGAATTTATATTTCCATTTTTTACATTTGAATAGGTTTACATAACACTCATTTTATGTCAGGCACTTCATAAGCATAAATTCAATCCTTCTGACCTTAGGAAGTAGGTATTGTCATTACTCCATTTTATAGATTAGGCATTAGAAGCAGAGAGGTTAAATAATTAGACTAGGGTCATACTGCTTGCTGGTCAGGTGGAGGAGGAGCCAGCATTTAAATCCAGGCCCTCGGGCACCAGAATTTATGTTCTTTACCATCATATTAAGTGACTAATGAGAAGCTAATAAATGGACGTAGTGATGTAAGACTGGGTAGAAGAGAGATTATATGTATTTTTTTAACCATATAAATGTATTATCTATTCACAAATTACATTAGAAAAAGTGTGCATGACTGTGCTTAAGTCACTCACTTTCCATGGCAGAGGCAGACATCTCAAGAGAAATAACAGCAGCAGGTTGTAGTAAGGGCTTACCAAAGTCTTATCCAAAGTTTTCTGTTAAAAGATTTTTAACATCATGAAACAAATTCCATACCTGTTGTGAATAGCTAAAGATCCTGGTGCTTTGGGTCAGGGAGGCAGAGTGTGCTGGACCCATGATCCACAGACTGTCTTTTTGCAGACCCCTTCTTCCAGAGCGCTCAGCCCTGGATCGCTGCCCTCGCCGGGATCCTGCCTGTCTCGCTGCTACTTCTATCAGGGGCAGGTTACTTCCTGTGGCGACAACAACAGGAAAAAAAGACTCTGTTCAACGAAAAAAAGAGAGAGCAGGAAATGAGAGAATTAGCACAGAGCACAATGAAGCAGGAACGAAGCAGAAGAGGTATATGACTCCGGGAGGGATCAAAGCCCCTAGGTTACAGGCCTGAACCCCAAACCCTCATCCCCAACCCTGCTCTGGTACTGGTTGGTTTTGAAGGTTTACTGTCCAGAGAATCCCTTCTTCCATAACATTGTATTTTTTTTCTGCTTATTTTCTAGAGAAGCTGGAGGATGAACTCAGTAAGTTCCCATTTCCCCAGACACTCAGGCATGTCTTCCCACCTCTGCTTTAAGCACCTTGATGACTCTTCCTTGTTGATTCCATTTCAGAATGGAGAAAAATCCAGTACATGGCTCGTAAGTGACTCTGACACTTTCTCTGAATTCAAATCTACGACTTTATACCCTTGGATATTTTCCAGTTCTTAACTCTTTGACCAGGATCAGAAAATGGTCCTAGATCCCTGTAATCATGAAAAGAAAATCAGTGTAGTATTCCAAGTCATAGCAGACAAAAGGTAGAAAAAAACAAAATGGAAAATAAGTGTGATTTTTTGGAGTGACACCCAGGAGGAGTCAGCCTCTCACTCTCTCTCAGGAAAGAGACCTTCAATCACTGTTCACTAGAGGCCACATAGTCTTTAGCCCTATAAGGCACTGCAGAATACACAAGAGTTCCCTTCAAAAGGAAGGGGTAAGAGGAGAGTGAAGTGCCTTCTCTATACTGGGAACATCACTAGTTTCTTCACATCATCTATAAGTTGCTGAGAAGAAAGAAGGTAATAAGGAACAAGAAAATCAAAAGTGAGAGAGAAAGAAAAACGCCTCTTATAAACAGGATGAGCTCCAGTAGCTCAATTGGTACAGATTAATTATAACTGCTTATAAAAATTACTCCCTGAATTTTTTTATTAAGCTTCCCAGATTCTATTCAGAAGAAGACAGAAAACGATACATTATTACAGATGAAACTTATACACATATACATATATGTATATAGATATGCTAACACATACAAACCTATTCAAAATAGAATTCATGGTAGGAAGGTACCCACACAGTATCTGTGGTGTCGTTAGCATCAAGGGGTATTCTGAGAATTGATATGAAGGAGGAGAAAATTGAACCTACAGAGGGAGAAGGTAGAAAAGGGTGAGATGATCAAAAGGAAGATAGATAAGTACAAAAGGAAGGCAAAGTTGACAGCTCAGACATGGCAGAGTTCAAGTCACAACTCTGTTTTTCATTGTAGGTGGGGAAAAGTCTCCAGCCTATGATGGTAAGTGGCACTGATGTTCTCAGTTTTCTGGGACATGCACCCTGAGCATTTCACTCCTTTGTTTACTATTACCCATTGACATTGTCAGTTGGAATAATCAGATCTAACCTAAAAGCTCATTTTCAGTGGGGATTCTATGTCTGCTTTGGGGAAGCTTCTAAAAGAAGCCTGAGGCTGCTGGCACTCATGCACACCACCTAGCAAACCCTGGCCATGCAGCTGACAACCCCTCATGACAGAGGAAAGAGAGCCCAACTTTTTTTAGAAGTTGCCACCCCTGATCCATCATAGCTGTGGAGAAGGGAAGCTGGACAGTGAAGGAGTCTCTCAAGAAAAGCAGAGAGAAAGGACTGACTGAGGAGTACCAGGTGGGCAAGAATACAAACGTTAACCTTTCTTACCTGTGTCTCTTTCCTTTCAGAATGGAAAGCGGCCCTCTTCCAAGCTGGTGAGTAAATCACTGCATGTTCCCTGGGCCAACAATCTGAGTGACCACATCCTTTTTTCTTCTCCAACTCTTGAGATTTGGGGAAAAAGAGTCCCAATAACAAGGAGACTTTTGGATGGGCACCTTGAGGTTGCAATTGAAAGGGATGCCCAGGTCCAGGACCCTGTCTGCTGAGAGCTCTGGGAACCAGGGGGAATTGCTGTCTTGGCCCTCCATAGATCTTCATGAGAGAAATGAGGAATGAAGCTTAGAGCTGAGAGGCAGGAGACACAGACTGAGGAATACTGCAGGGAGAATGAGGATGGGAAATGCCGAGGAGGAAGGCAATGTCTGCCTAAAGAACATCTCAGTCTTCATATGGCACCTACTGCCTCTGTGTGTTCTCAAAGGATTTAATGTATCTGAACTTTGGCCTTCACATTTTTAGACGATGATTTTAATTCTTACTTTGTGACCACTGAGGTGAAGACTAAAGAAGGTAATGAATACATATTAGGCAAAAATGTATTTAAAAAGAACTGATATGTTCCAAATGGGCATTTGACGGGGATTTGGAAAAATAGCATTAAGGTAAAGCAACAAGTGAAAGTGCGTTGTCTCAGGGATACCAACAGTGGGGCGCTGTCTCCACCCCTAGACTTCAGGATTAGGGACAGGGGCTGGTACTGGAACGCAGAGGAAGCTGTAGCTGAAATAGAGAGCTCCCTAAGAATGGTCAACCCTTTCTCAGAGCAATACCATCTGATGTCAGCAGAGAGGAAGCAGGGAGGATCAATGCTGTGCCTCTCTTTTCTTTACCTTCTAATCTTCTTTTGGGCCATCTATTAGCCAAACCCAAGAGGAAACTAGAGAAAAAGGAAGCCTGGTGACACAGTCCATATAGGACAGATTTTTATGGCTCTGAAGAGGGTGGAGAAAGGTGAAATATGGAGAGTAGGTATGGGGCATATAAAGTCCCCAACAGAGACCCTAACACATAGCAAGAATAACAGCCATTATAACATCACATACTGCCTTTATGCCCTGTCCCAGGATAATTAAATTACCTTGTTCTCTTAGACAACCATAAAAGTTAGTATTTTTATCCCTGTTTATCACGTAAGGAAATGCTTCAGATAAGGCTCAAAAATGTTCCATAGCTTGGATGTACGGAAAAATAGGCTACACAGGCAGCGCCTGTGGCTCAGTGAGCAGGGCGCTGGCCCCATATACTGAGGGTGGCGGGTTCAAACCCGGCCCTGGCCAAACTGCAACAAAAAATAGCCGGGCATTGTGGCAGGCGCCTATAGTCTCAGCTACTTGGGAGGCTAAGACAAGAGAATTGCCTAAGCCCAAGAGCTGGAGGTTGCTGTGAGCTGTGACATCACAGCACTCTACCAAGGGCAACAAAGTGAGACTCTGTCTCTAAAAAAAAAAAAAAAGACTACAGAAAAGAAAACATTCAACATATAAATAGAGTGAACACTAAAATTTAAATCGATGAGTATAAAGCACAATTTTGCAGTCAATTTTGAGAATAAAACAAAGAAAAGGTAGAGGCCTATTGCTTCCTGAGGCAGCATCAGGATATCAGGTTAGGCAGATTCCAACCCTCATTTCACCCTCTCCTTCCCCACTGCACACAACCCCTGGGCTTTCTCTCATGATAGTAATGAGAGAGTCTCACACGCCAGCCAGGTTGGGGATGGCAGGCTCTGGACCCTGGTGCCCTGGACAAGGCCCTGGCTTTCTATGCTGAGGCTCTGAGATCCAGGAAAAATGGTTGACTCCACAGATGAATTGTATATCTCTCTACAGAGGATGTGATTCTGGATCCAGATACAGCAAACCCCATCCTCCTTTTGTCTGAGGACTTGAGGAGTCTGCAGCTTGCAAAGGAGAAACAGGACCTGCCAGACATACCTGAGAGATTTAATTGGCATCACTGTGTGCTTGGCCATGAGAATTTCACATCGGGGAGACATTACTGGGAGGTGGAGGTGGGGGACAGGAAAGAGTGGCATATTGGGGTGTGTAGGAGGGATGTGGAGAGAAAAGGTTGGGTCAAAATGGCACCTGAGAATGGATTCTGGACTATGGGACGGTCCGATGAGAATGACTTTCGGGCTCTCACTGACCCCAGAACAAAACTGACGCTTGCTGAGCCCCCTGAAAAAGTGGGTGTTTTCCTGGACTACGAGACTGGGGAGGTCTCATTCTACAATGCCATAGATGGATCTCATATTTATACCTTCCTGCACACCTCCTTCTCTGGGCCTCTGTATCCTGTTTTCAGAATTTTAACTTTGGAGCCCACTGCACTGACCATTTGCCCAGCATCAAAAGTCGTGGAGAGTTCCCATATTCCTGACTTAGTTCCGGACCTTTCCCTGAAGACCCCAGTTACCCCAAGTTTAACTAATGAAACTACTGAGCCTCAGGGTGAAGTGATGTGTCCACTTCTCCCTGCACAGTCTGGAGCTGAAGGTCTCCCTCTGCACAGCAGCCATCACAACCATGAAGCTACGTGCATACACTGAAGCACTTTGCTGATACTCATTCAGTTATGCCATATGACAGTAGTTTCAGCTTGGTGCCCCTTTATTATCTATCCCCTTGTACAGGTAAGGAGAAGGAGACTGCACAAAAGTGAATTAACTTTCCAAAGGTGACATGGCTGGGACCTGAACAACAATAACCACCATTTATAGAGAACATAAAATATACTGGTTGCTGCGCTACCATGCACTAGGTAGGTTTCACGCATGTAACCCTGACAACTCCCCGTGGGGGAGTTTCATTTTGCAGATGGGGCAGCTGAGGCAGGGCAAAATTAAATCACTTCAGTAGCTCATGAAATAAGTTGTACAGTTGGGAGATACTCAGCCTTGGTCCTTGACCACCTGCCCGTTCTTTTCTAGTTTCATTTTCTGCACAGAAAGGGACTATGTGCATCCCTGAGGTTCTCTTTCCAGAGAGGCTGCGGGGTAGGGATCATTGTAGGTGGCTGCGGCCATCACACCCTTCCTGAGCCATTCCCAGCTGATTGTCAAAGCTTTACACCCAGCACTCTTTGGGACTGGCCTTGCAGGGTGTCTTCTTTCAGAGAAAAAACTCCCTTTAACTGTGTTACACGTTACTGTGGAAGGGAATAGAAGCCAAATTCTGAATTAATAATTGCACAGCATAGGTGTTGCCACTCTATCAATGTGGTAAGTGATCCTATGTTGCTGGTGTCTAGGAATTGTGGCTAGTAACCTAAAGATTGTCAATGAAACAAGAATTTGGGAGGAGGGGCAGTGCCTGTGGCTCAATGGAGTAGGGCGCTGACCCCATATGCTTGAGGTGGTGGGTTCAAGCCCAGCCCCGGCCAAAAACTGCAAAGAAAAAAAAAAAAAAAGAATTTGGGAGGAGGAAAGAAGCTAGAAGAATAGCGGGGGTATAGTTAATCTCTCTGTGGAATCCATCTGCAGGAAAGGGATATATTTACTTTGATCATTGTGAATATATAAAACCACTATTCCTTTCAACTGAAAGATGCTAAGACAACTGTTCTAACTTATCGTATGTTATTATTCACCACTGTATACCTTCTTCTAGCATGTACATGTCATATTTTATTTGAACAATAAAATTGTTAGTAATCCTCCCTCTTTCCATTTGGAGTCTTCCAGGCTCTTAAAGGTCTGCTCAGCACAGTGGAGTGGCCTTACTCCCCCACTGTACTCACCACAGTTTCACAGTTTACCTTGTTGCAACATTTGCACAAAATCCTTATCACATGAGTTTTCTATTGTTGTTACAATGAATTCCCACAAATTCAGGGACTTAAAACAACACAGATTTATTATCTCATAGATCTTTAGGTCAGGGATCAGACATGGATCTCACTGAGCTAAACTCTAGATGTTTGCAGGCTGTATTCTATTCTGGAAGCTGAAGGGAAGAATCTGTTTTCTTGGTGTTTCAGATTGTTGACAGCACACAGTTCCCTAGAATTTTAGAATTAAGGTCACAGTTCCTCCCTGGGCATTAGGTGAGGGCTGTTCCCAGTTCTAGAGGCTGCCACATCCTGGCTCCTAGGTCCCTCCTCCATCTTCAAAGCAGCAACAGAAAGTTGAGTATTTCTTAATCTTTGGATTTTTCTTGGTTCTTCTTCTATTTCTTCTCTTTTGACTCTTCTGCCTTCTACTTTAAGTACTTGGCTATTTGAGACTGAGTCCACCCAGACAAGTCAAGATAATCCCTTTACTTTAAGGAGCATAACCTTAATTCCTTGTAAGTTTTACGGGGGCTATTGTTGGGAGATGAGAGAATGGGAGTCCTTTTCAGCCTACCACATGTGTTTGGGAAATGATGCCAGGAAACACAAGCACAGAAAAAAAATGAGTCAGAGAAGGGAGAGATCCAGTTATGTAAGAAATGGCATAAAGCATTTATGAATTACTGGATGTGGACAACTTGGCTGAATTCCACCCAGGATTCTGAGAAATGATATGAAATTCTGGGATATAACAAAATCTTCCTTAGAGCTGAGGACAGGTTGGGAGAGGAACATTTACACCTGGCATCCTCCTATACTTGAAATGATTGAAGGTTGCTTTGAGGGTGTCACTTCTTCCTCAACTGGTGTTTGGGCTGTGTATCTGCAAAAAAGCCAACATCACTGCTGTTGGAGATAGCCCTGAGGCAGAGGAAAAGAGAGACAGACACCTTAGATCAGAAGTTGTGATCCATGCAGGTAACCGTCTGCCTCAGTCATTGGTGAGAGAGGCCAAGAGAACATGGATGGGGCACCCACAGCATCTGTTCTCATGGCTCAGCTTCTGAGAATATAGCAAATAAACTGTTGAGGTCTGTTTTCCCTCCCTTCAACCCATTCATTTATCACAAGCGACCTCCTGTCTTCCAATACATGTCCCCATCACACTACCTTTCTGCTTCACCACCTAGATTGATCTGGGGTGGTCCTGTAGCCCAGGCCAGGTCTCCTATTGATTTTGTTATGTTAAAGAGGTTCTGACAGCCAGTATACTAATTTTCTTGGAAGCTACAGATTTCATAATGACTCAGTGGCCAATCAGTAATGCTTGTATTCATAGTTTATTGTAACATATTTGCACACACATTCAAGCTAACATTCGCCAGGTAGTTAATAAAGGCACTAATTTGGGGGCAATGAACAATCGTGGAGTCATGGAAGGTCATTCCACTGACACAGGAACTCAAATGAGTCTGGACATCTCTCAGGTGCCAATCAGCAGCGCAGTAGCAGTTCCTTTCTGGCAAAGCTGTCTTAGCACAAGTTGCCAAATTCAAGAGGAGTCTTTTGGAGTCAGGTACCCAGATTGTAAAAGTATCCTGGGTCATTGCCAGGCTCTTGCTGTTTTTACAATTCTAAGCACATGTGCTCATTATCCTTACCCCAGTTAATGGGTCTTGCTTAGGAGCAGGTGTTATCTCATCACCTTACACTATTACACAGATATTGAAGACGAACAACTTTGCTATAAGCTCTGTATACATATAAATATGTATATCACTTTAAAGAAAAATAATTTTACTCTGACCTCAATATTCACATATGATTATCACTTTAAAGGAAAATAAATGTAAATTTTACGTCACCTAATGTGACTGCATTTTAAGACATCATCATTTTGTGATCTTTAGGATCACAAATCATTTTGATTAACCTGGAGGCTACAAGACCTCTGTGAAATATGTGTAGGACCAGTTACTCCTGTGGGAGGTGTGAATGGGAGCTGTGGGAAGGCAGCTTCCATTCATAATCTGGTCCACAAGAGCCAAGAAAGGTGTACTGTGGAAAGAGGCCATTAGCATAGATGAGAAGGCTTCAAGATGGAAAGAATTTGATTCTTTTTCTCATCTTCAGTTCTTTTGAGGTTCCAGTATCATTTCTACTATGTATTCTGTGAAACTTCCATTGAGATAAGGTAAATGTACTGGTTAATATTCATGCAGTCCTGGACGTTAGCAGCTTATGCAACTATTGTATTATGTTCACTGATTTCACAAGTCAGCAATTTGGTATCTGGCTTTTTTCTTTTTTCTTTTTCAATTGATTTTTTTTTTTTTTTTTTTTTGAGACAGAGTCTCATTCTGTCACCCTGGGTAAAGTGCCCCCAGGGCAATGGTATCATACATCACAGCCCAAATTCTTGGGCATAAGAGTTCCTCTTGCCTCAGCTTCCCCAAGTAGCTGGGACTACAAGTGCCCGCCACAACAACTTGCTAGTTTTAGTAGAGGCCAGGTCTTGCTTTTGCTCAGGTTCGTGTCAAACTCCTGAGTTCAAGTGATCTATCCACCTTTGCCTCTCAGAGTATTAAGATTACAGCTTGAGCCACTGTGCTTGGCCAGCAATTTGATATTTGAATAAGGCAGAGAAGAAATAGCTTTTCTGTGTGTCAACCTGCCTAGGCCTCTCCTGGAAGGTCTTTAAGTCTGGTGATGACTCAGAGGAAGGGACACAGCCAAATTGCCTTTACACATTGGAGTTTAGTACAAAGAAAGAATCAGGAAATCACTGAAAGAGAATGAGTGTTCAGTCTGGATCCTGGTTTTTTTTAGGAGCTGCATGTATACTAGGGTCATAGAGATCTGTGTTGAAGTGGCCCTTCCTCTGTGTTTATTCCTCCCATGACAGAGAATCATTGGGTCAGATTGTCACTATCTAATTTGGCACACATAATGAGGACCTGGCTTCTTGCTAACCTATCTCGTTGCCGATGGATCATTCTTCTACTCAGAACACATGAGTCTCCCTCTGTTTCACATCAGCTTGGTAGGGTTAGAAGCATAGCTTAGCTAGATACTTCTGGCACAAGCTGCCTTAAGAACCCTGGACCGTATTTCTTCCATTGAAAAATCTGAAGCCAGATCTAAGACTGGCTGGCCAGGCTCTCAGTCCTTCATAACCACCTCTTCTGTCCCTCACAGTAGCAGCCCAGTTCTAGGTGGAATTATCCAAGATTTACAATGATTTTATTCTCATTAGCCACTCCACCAAGAATCCATTTTTAAGAATATTCCAAAAGCATTGGTTGGTAGGTGACGCTGTTGGGTGAGAAAGTGACAGTTTAGGGGTAGCATAAGAAAAAGTCAATTCTCTGGACTTTCTTCAGTTTTTTCCTAATCAAAGACCTCCTTTTGCTGAGCAAAGAAGGAACATGCTTCCACAGGTAAGTCTAGATGATTCCTTTGAGCCTCCTTTCCAGTCCATGAATTCCTGACCTTGAGTTGATTTCATTCTGCTGTCATCGTTCCCTTGGTCTCTGGCACTGAATGAATGCAGGAACTGGGTCGTACTGTTGGGAGAATGTCCTTACCCTGAATGTTTTAACACATCCATTGAATAGCAAATAAGAGCAAAGCTTGGGACCAGGCCCTGATAAAAGAGAGGAATTACATCTTGCAGATATCTGTCCTTAGGAGCAGATAAGTTTCAAGTCACTGGAAACTTAAAATTCATACTTAAGTAACAGTGATGCAAAAAGAATATAGGAATAGCAAAAGCTTTTTGTGTCAGAAGAAGTTGAGAATGTATCAGGCAAACATCGAGAGGTATTCTTGGAAGAGATAACATGAAAAGTGGGCAGAATTTCAAGAGGCAAAAATAGAGGGAACAATTTAGGTGAATGAAAAAGGGAGGACTGGCCACACGGAGGGCAATAGTGTTACATAAGGCAACTGTAGAGCCACTGGTAATGTATTAACTGTAAAGTTCTGAGTTGAATCAAAAGAGGAATTGGAGGCCTCCAGAAGAAGCATGTAGGCACTTGAGGGGAATAGTGACAACTGTGCTTTGGGAAGTTTATTCTGGACAATATCTTTGCAGTGTGAGGACTGAAGCAAAAATCTTAAGCTTCTGGACACACAGACCCTTCTTTGGCTAAAAGACCTCAAAATCATTATGTTCTGTCCATAAGGAGATAAGAGATTGGTCACGTCCCATGGTTTCCCTTCTTAATCATGTCCAGACTTTCTTAAAGGCCAGACTGAGAGAACAAAAAAACAGAAAACCCCACATCTTACTTCACTGGACCCCAGACATCCTTCTGTTTTCTAGGTTAAGACATGACAACTAGATATTTTACAAAACATTTCTTCCTGATAAACACCTACAGATCTCTTACTGGCTTGACCCCTTTCCTGGGGCAGACAGTGGCCCTGTGCCTTGTGTTTCAATTTTTATCTAGAAGACTGAATTATGATACATCCTCCGTTAGATAATTGCCTCAGAAAAGCCCCTTCCCCAGAAAGTCCCTTCCTGCTTTATACAGACCAAGACTAGCTGTCTCACTCTCAAAATTACAGCACACATCTACACACAAACCTCACTTCCTGGATGGCAGCAAAAGCACAAAACGCGGGGAATCCCAAAACTTTGAAAGAAAAAGAAAAAAAGGCATTTTCCTCCTGAAATAAAAAAAGAAATTGAAAGACCCCATAATCTCAAAAAGTTAGTTACTGCTCGAATTTTTAAAAACTATTTCCGCATATTCTACCTAGTAACTGGTGAGAAATAAGACCCAGGGACGCCATTGGCTGGCTCTTCTGCTGCGCGAAACCATTTACTGGCGATCTCGAAATCTGACCTCAGGTCCATCAGCTCCTGGCAGCTCAACTAAACTAACGGGAGGGGGAAGACAGTTTTGTCTGCCCGTTTGGGACGCTTTGTTCTCTAGTGCTGCCTGTGCCTACCGGCGGGATGGAAAAAAAAAGGAACGACCGGAAAATCGTCATTTGAGGGTCAAAGGAGAAAAGAAAACAAAAAGTTGATTCTAGAAGGTAGGAAAGGGAGGGGAAGCGCTACTGCTCCAAGGTAGGTGAGGCGGCTATGAAAGAAAACCGGGTCCCTGGGAGAGGGGGAGGCTACTGTTGGGGATGCGCGGCCGTGCTTGGCCTTAACTCAGGTTGCTAGCCTGGTTCACCGGAAGGAGGAAGAGAAAAGAGGGCGGGTGTGGAAGAGTATCAAATGACAAGAAAGAAAGTGGATTCTATCTAGAGAAGTGAGCCCAGAAAGGTGGAAAACTGCCTGCCTGATGGTTATATTGTTGACTTACTTCATGGAATGTTCATTACATCCTTTTGTTGAGAGATATTGGGAAGAAGTGGGCTATCCAAGACCGATGTTGGGGCCCTGATGAGAACAACATGAGTGACCGCAATGCTTGATCTAAATCAGAACTGTGGTGTTAAATCTCCTCGCCTGAACCTACCCCTCTGTACCCCTAGGCCTGAGGTCCCTGCCTGTGCTGGGTGACTATGTTCTTGGTACTTACGGAGCCGGCTGCCTCCTTGCACTTCTCCCTGCCAGCTTCCTTTCTCTTCCCCATCCTCAGCCTGCTTGCACTGGTCTCAGGTAGGGATGCATGCCACTTGCTACTCTCAACTATCAAAAAGCAACATCTACACTTAAGTTTGCAAAGGGGAAGAAGGACTGTGATGGTGCTGACTCATCCTTTCATTCCGCATGTGTTCACTGGACTGATAGCAGTGCTGTCCAGTAGGCATACAGTGAGATTTACCGTCTAGGTCTATATACAATTGCAAATTTTCAATTTATTTATTTATTTTTTTACTTTTTACTTAAAAAGTAAAAAGAAATAAATTTTCATAATAGATTTTGTTTCATCTCACATAATGAAATATTAATTTCATTTCATAATTTAAATACTTTGTAAATGCAATGAGATATTTAACATTTACAACTTTTAAATCTTCAAAATCTTGTGTATGTATTTTACGCCTACAGCTTGATCAACTGGAACTAGTTAGTGGGTCTCCTTTTGGACAGCTTAATTTATACTACACCCAGGCACTCAGCTAGACTGGGGAATAGAGGAAAATGTTGTTAGGGGCACAGAGTCTGTAGAGGGTGCTCAGGGTAAGCTCTTCAATGTTTATTCAGGAGGCAATAGCAGTCTTAATAGCTGCTGGTGACCAACCACAGCTACTAGTCCCCAGAATTCTTAGCCTAGAAAGCTTCCATAGCCTTGGAAAGAATTTTTCAGTGTGTGGAACATACACTTCTTTTTCTGACTTAGATATTTGATGCCTGAAGTCCCTGTGTGATTCTGCTCCTTTGTTGAATAGCCCAGTTTACTGTCAAGGGACCGGCTGATCCAATCCTGACCATGGTGGGAGAAAACATCACGTTACACTGCCACCTGTCCCCAGAGAAAAATGCTGAGGACATGGAGGTGCGGTGGTTCCGGACTCAGTTCTCCCCAGCAGTTCTGGTTTATAAGGGTGGGCGAGAAAGAACAGAGGAGCAGATGGAGGAGTACCGAGGAAGAGCCACCCTTGTGAGCAAAGACATGAGTAGAGGCAGTGTGGCGCTGGTCATCCACAATGTCACAGCCCAGGACAATGGCATCTACCGCTGTTACTTCCAAGAAGGCAGGTACTACGATGAGGCCATCATGCGCCTTGTGGTTGCAGGTGTGTTACTTCATTTTGTTTTATTACTGTTTCATAGTGTGACTTTTGGGGAAAGTTTTTCAGCTAATCTCCTGCCCACCAGGAGATTTGTGTGTGGAATCCCTTTTTCACAGAGTCAGGAGTAGGTTTGCCCTGTTAAGCTGTGGTTATCACTTCTTGAGAAGCACACACAGAATTCATCTATGGCCCTGAGTGGGAAAGACAGGTTAATCCCTAAAAATAATTCTTGACTCTGCTCTATCACTGAAAATGTACACTTTTTTTCCTCCTTTTTTGAGGACTTCCCTAATCTGTGGTATAGAAATGTGCACTTTTGAGAGTAAGAGGAGACACTGTTAAAAAGTGTACCTGTACAACTGGGATAAATAAGGACTGCCCAGTGAATTATAACTTATAAGAGTCTCATTTCTTGATAAATACTAATCTTGCCTCTTTCTCCTTTTCTCACATACCTACTGTGGAGAGAAGAGATATGTAAATAGATGATTTTGTTAAAGCAATCTAAGAGGCAAAATTATGCACTAAGTTCTAACCCTTACAGAGAAAGTGAGAGTGAGTTCGTCAGGGAGAAATTTGCCAGGACTTCTCCAGCATAAAAATACATTTTAGTAGGTATTTCTGTAAGTTTATTAACATGACTCAAAGGCAGGGGTCCTCAAACATTTTAAACAGGGGGCCAGTTCACTGTCCCTCAGACTGTTGGAGGGCCGGACTATAGTTTAAAAGGACAGGCAGCAGTGGCAAAAACACCCGGCAGGCTGGATAAATGTCCTCGGCAGGCTGCATGTGGTCTGTGGGCCATAGTTTGAGGATGCCTGCTCTAAGGAATGCCTGTACTCCTTGGTCAATGTATTATGCTTTAAAAGAAATGTCTGAAGACTAGAATATGCTTTAAGACTCAGAAGACTATGTTGGCATTTCAGTCCATCAGGTCAGAAGAGGCGAGGTTTGGGGAGAGTATGTCCTTACCTGGTGTTAAACCATAACTGGTAGGACACTCCATCTTTGTCACTCACAGTCACAACCTTGTATCTGATTAAAACAGAGCATCATGGAAAGAGAGTTTCTCCACCCTTATTTTCTGACTGCTCACAATGGCAGTTCATTAGTTCATGGTTGACCAGTTATGGTCCATGTATGGCAGAAACATTCAATTTGTTTCCTATAAACCTGACTATAGCCTAGCCACCCCCACTCTGAATGGAATCATTATGGGATTCCGTGTTTGTTTGTTCATTTTTGGGGGGAGGAGGTTTGTTGGTTGTTTGATTTGGGTGATGATTTTCAGTCTATTGTCTCATATCTGCCCTTATTGAATCCCACAGGATGTTTTGTAGAATTTTGTGTTCTAATATACTGAATTATTTTAATCTTATTTTATTTCAAGATTTCTCTATGGGTCTTGAAATGTACAACTGGGTTTTTCTTTGCTTTTGGTAAAAATAAAATTGATGAGGAAGGGGTAGGCTTAAGTGATTGTTTTAATTTCCTATTTTTGGTATAATTTTCTGGGTAGGCTTTACAAAGGAATTATTCAAAAGAAGTGTAAATGATCACACATGGCTCATAAGTCTCCCTAAGCCATGTGTTTGGAGCCCTCTCACACTTGGTATTCTTTGTCATTGAAGATATTTTTAAAGATATAGTTTAGTTAGGATGAGTCAATTCTGAGAATTTTTGGTAAAGATTTTCTGACATTGAAGCATTGATATTATTATCTTAAGGATCCAGAAAGCATGCAATTATTTCTAATAATACACTGATATTCTCAAAGGAATATGAGAAAATCACTTGGTGATCTAAGCTTCTGTGAATCAGGTTAAAGGTTGGTGGCCAGTTCTGTCCATTCTCCTAAAAACCATCACCTTCTATAGGTAGTAAATAGCTATGATGGTATGAAGCCCAGAAGTGGACAGAAAAGACAGTGTCTTTAGGTCAAAAATTTCTTGAGATTATGCCAGCCTGGAAGGTTTCTGTATTATATTATTCCAGAGCTTCATGAAACCAAAGTCTATTGAGAAGTTTTTAAGGAATTGAAAGTAAAAACTTCAACCTGCCATTTCACGTTGGACTGGGCAGACCCACCTAGAAGTGAGAAAATTAGTCCTTGTCAGAATAAATCCAGTAGTTACAGCAGACAGACACATGCTTGGTGCCATGATGGGGCCTGTGGGTGGAGCACAGGGAAGAGTATGCAGTATAATCTTTTCCTCTTAGAGATCTCAGATTTTTTTTGGTATATTGATCTTCTAGTGTTTTCCAGCATCAAAATTCTTTCCTCCTTAATTTTTCTTGCTCCCTCCCACTGTCTTTTTCTTCCTTTGTTCCTCCCTTCACAGAAGAGGCATAGTAGGGGCTGAGACACCTCTGCTTAGTAGCTGAACCCTGACCTCCCTCCCCAGGTCTGGGCTCTAAGCCCCTAGTTGAAATGAAGGGACATGAAGATGGCGGCATTCGGCTGGAGTGCACATCTGGAGGGTGGTATCCAGAGCCTCTGGCAGTGTGGAGAGACCCCTATCGTAAGGTTGTACCTGCCCTAGATGGGTCTCACACTGCTGATGCAGACGGCCTCTTCCTGGTGACCACAGCTGTGATCATCAGAGATAGATCCATGAGGAACATGTCCTGCTCTGTCAACAACACCTTGCTCGGCCAGGAAAAGGAAACTGTGATTTTCATTCCAGGTTAGTTCTCTGCCCTCTGGAGACACATGGTATGGAGGTGGGCTCCTCAGCCTACAGGTGGATCCCCAGGTGGTGATGAGGAGAGGGTAGGAGCGTGTGTTTAAGGGTCCTTGGCCTTGAGGAGCTGCCGGCTGCACCTGAGCTGGGCCTCTCTCCTTGCAGAAGGGAAAAACCATAGAATCTCCAAAGACATGAGTAGCAACCTCTTATCTCAGGGTTAATCTTGTCTTTTTTTTCCTAATGAGGTTCTTGCCTTTCAGTGGTTTTTAAGTATTCAGAACAATCATAACACATGAGCAATAGTGTGGATGGGTGAATCCTGAATTGTGCTAGAGTTGCTGAAATGGAGTGAGTGCAGAAAGGAGGAGGAGATGAATTCACAGCAGCAATAAGGCCACATTGTATGGGGCAGCATAGGCCAAAACAGACTTTGCCTTTTAGTCTAAGGGAGATGAGAAGCATTGAAGAGTTCTGAGCAAAGAAATAATATTATCTCACTTAGGCTGTTTAGTGGAAAATAAACCACAGGTTGTAATGGGAGAACAAGGAGGGGGATATGGCAATATTCTAGGCAAGAGTGATGGTGGCTTGAACCAGGGTAGTGGCTATGCTGATTCAGCATGGCTGGTTAGCTTTATTCACCCTGGTCCTTCCCATGGTGACTTCTTCAGGTGTCTCTGCTTTTCTGTCTTCTGGCAGTTGCATTGCTTGCTCCATCTGGAGTTTCTGAGGAGAAGCTGACAGGGAAGTCCCCTAAGGAAGCTCTTCAGATGTGCCCCTAAGGGGTACTCTCACCCTTGGTCTCCTGTTTATCATTAAATGGACTTCCCTGACTACCTTTTCAGAATCCTTTATGCCCAGCATATCTCCCTGGGTTGTGATCCTACCGCTCATCCTGGCTGTCCTCATCGCCCCCATAGCTATAAGCATCTATTACATCAAGAAACTCCACAGGGAAAAAATCATTTTGTTAGGGGCAAAGGAGGTTGAACTGGAAGAGAAAGAAATTGCCCAGAAGGAATTATATAAAGAACGTGCAGAAAAAGAGAAAGCACATCAAATAAAAGGTAAAAGACTGAGAAGACAAACTCACTGACATAGAAAGGACATATCTCTGACAGGTAGCAGCAGCTTGGGGAAAAGAGAGAGGAAACTTGTGTCAGCAGTAGCAAGGGCTTAGAGTTTTCAAGTCCATATGGCTTTGTTAGTACTTCCATTCTACAAGCATTGCAGACATTCAGGGTACTTGGCCCTGAGGAGCTGTAGCACTAATGGGTGAACACAGGAAGCCTAAACATATGCTGATACTGCCCAGTCTCTGGGTCATAAATCCTCTCTGGTTTCTGACAGTTCCGTGACATTGGGGAAGGGTGGTATTAATAGAAAGGATGGGTCCTACATCATTTAATATAAACCCAACTTCTCCTAGTTCTTCTGTTGAGAACATCATTCTATTTCTGTTTCTTTTTCAGAGCAACTTCAAGAAGAATTGCGTGAGTTTTTTTCTTGAATTACTCAGGCACAATTTGTGTTCTGCTTGGTTAGCCTTTATCTCATGACATTGACCTCTCTGTCTGTCCCTTGCAGGATGGAGAAGAACACTCTTACATGCTGGTGAGCACTTCTTTCATTCTCTTAGATCCTGACCTTTCTCCCTAGTAGCAGCCAATAGTTCTCTGGATAAGAAAAGAGCAAGGGGACCAAGGCTAGGTGGGGACAGCTGGGGCTTGGGGCTGGCTTACAACCTGTGTCCCACCAAAGCTTAGTCATGGCTCATCTGTCAGGGAACCCCAGGAGTTCTTTATTAATCCTAAAGTTTATTTCCCATGGTCTTTTCTGTTGTAGAATAATTTAGTCCAGTTACCAGAGGTCTCTGACACATAGTAGAGCCCCCTAAGAGTTACATTTCAGTACTTGTTGCTCTTGGATTCTGGATTAATTTGCAAAAAGCCTGAGGTGTCTTAGTTATTTATAACCTAGGGATGGTGACTGTGCACAGTTGAAGACCCACATGGAGAAAAGAGAATGAAGTTCCCCGATAAGAGGAAGTTCCCCAATAAAGCCAACATAGGTGGCCAGAAGTGTCTCTCTGCTCCTCAGACACTGCTATCCTGCATGTAACCTGTCAGGGCAGGGGGACCTGGTGAGTGGAAGAGCACAGAATTCCCTTGCCTACTTCTAATGAGCATTTTGAATTTTATGATTTGTCACCTTCAGCCCAGCATCACTAAAAATTTAGCATTACCAGAGACCATGGCACATGGGCATTCCTTTTTAGGTGATTTTCAAAATTGTCACTATCAACTTCAGGTACCATGACAAGTTGTCATAATCAGACACACCTATTAACTTAGAGAAAGGATAAAAACATTTTAACATAAATAGAAAGACACACTGGATAATTAATATAATGAACTTGGGAGAAGTCTATAGAATGTCCAAGGTCTGGAGCATTTTCTATACCCAGAGGCTTCAGACCCATGTTGTTAAAGTGAAACTGGATGAAAATCATATTTCCTCCCTACTTTTACCACACATACCTCTCAGGTGGTAAGTTGGCTTTTGGGGAAATTCATCCTCCTTTACTCTTTGAAGGTTGTCCTTGTCAATCATTTAAATCAGTTGTCACCTAGTTAAAAGAACAGGAGGGCAATGAAGTGGTTCCTTGCCACCCAGGACACTTTGTAGTAAGAGATTCACCTTAGTTGTTCACGGAGGCATGAGAAAAGCAGGATATGAAGCCTCTTTGCTGCTTTCAGCCAAGCTGGAAAGTTTCTAACTGAAGAGAGTCCCAGACGTCATACGTATTACAGAGAATATGGGGCAGATCTAAGAATGCTAAGAGGAAGTAGAAACCATTAATTTTGACTCATGCTAACTTTCTGGGTTTCTTGGAGGCCCAATTCTCCTCCATCTGAGAGCAGTCCTCCTTTACTGGGGAGAGAGAAGTACAACTTCAGTAGTTCTCAGTTTGTGAGCTGCCTAGGATCAAGAGCCCTTCATGGAAAGCACCACTACATGTGGGATCCCCTACTAGCTTTCCAAGCCCTGTTGGGGGGAGCAGGAATCACACAATCTCCAGGTTCCTGAAACTCCAGGCCTAAACCTAAGACTTTTTCTGCAGCCGATGTGGTCTTGGACCCAGACACAGCTCATCCTGAGCTCTTCCTGTCTGAGGACCGGAGAAGTGTGAGACGCGGCCCTTCCCACCAGAGTGTGCCTGACAACCCTGAGAGGTTTGACTGTCGGCCCTGTGTTTTGGGCCGGGAGAGCTTCACTTCAGGAAAACATTACTGGGAGGTAGATGTTGAAAACATGAAGATGTGGACAGTGGGTATTTGTAGAGACAGTGTTGAGAGGAAAGGAGAGGCCTTGCTGCTTCCTCAGAATGGCTTCTGGACCCTGGAGATGTTTGAAAACCAGTGCCGGGCCCTGTCCTCCCCTGAGAGGATTCTCCCTCTGAGAGAGCGCCTTTGCAGGGTGGGTGTCTTCTTGGACTATGAAGCTGGAGATGTCTCCTTCTACAACATGAGGGACAGATCTCACATCTACACTTGTCCCCGTTCAGCCTTTGCTGGCCCCCTGAGGCCCTTCTTCAGGCTGGGGTCTGATGACAGCCCCCTGTTCATCTGCCCAGCACTCGCAGGAGCCAATGGTGTCACAGTGCCTGAGGATGGCCTGATTCTTCACAGGGCACGGACCCACCACCACCTACAGGAACAATCCCCTGGTCTCCGAGCCATGTAGGGAAGCCCTCACCCTCTCAGCTGCCACATCAGGGCCTCCTGGCTGAGTATAAGCCCTCCTTCCCTCTTGTCATATAAGCTGCCTCTTTCACTCCCGTTTTAGGCCTCCACTCCAGCTGTCCACCAGGTTGTGGTTTTTGTAGCTCCTCAGTTTGTTCGTATGGGGAAGATCTAGCGTCAGGCAAGCTGCTGCTGTTATACAGCTCCCAGCCAAGGCAAAAGACGAAGGGCCGCAAATCTGCTCCTTCACCATCAAGGTGACAGTGTTGATTCTGTTACTCTGGTTGGCACCAGATGTTATGAACACAGGGTGAGGCCAACAGAATCCATCAAGATATAAGAGGAGGAGGAGTGAGTACTGAACCAGGTTTACCTGAGGGTCCAGGTTGAATGGGAACAATAGTGTTTTAAAGTTTCCTGGTCTCAGGATGCCTTTAGATCCTGAAAATTTATTAAGGACCCTGGAGAACATTTGTTTATTTGGGTTCATATCTGTTAATATTTGTGGCACTTGGCTCAGCACCTGTAGCACGGTGGTTATGGTGCCAGCCACATACACCGAGGCTGGCAGGTTCAAATCCAGCTTGGGCCAACTAAAACAACAATGACAGTTGCAACAAAAAATAGCCAGGTGTTGTGGCGGGTGCCTGTAGTCCCAGCTACTTGGGAGGTAGATGTTGAAAACATGAAGATGTGGACAGTCGATGTTTGTAGAGACAGTATTGAGAGGAAAGGAGAGGCCTTGCTGGTTCCTCAGAATGGAATTCTCTCTCTGAGGCAAGAGAATCACTTAAGCCCGAGAGTTTGAGGTTGCTGTAAGCTTGACACCATGGCACTCTACCAAGGGCAACATAGTGAGACTCTGTCTCAAAAAAAAAAATATTTGTGGCACTCAAGATTGAAACTTAGAAAGTTTTAATGAGCTCCTAATTGATATTAATAACATTAATAACAAATTATAAATTAATAAAAGAAGCATATTTTATGAAAAATAACTATTGTTTCCAAAGCAAAATAAGTTTATTGAGAAGTATGACTTTGTTTAATGTTTTCCAAATCTAATGTCTGACTTAATAGAAGATACCTATATTCTCAAATCCACTTTTGTATTCAGTCCATTGGAATATCAGGTCATATAGTCAGAAGAAAAGTTTACTAAGCCCTAATGAAAGAATGAGATTAAAAACAATAAATAATGTCTTAATTTCATTATGGAAATATTAACCCTGAGCACCCCCTAAAGTATATGAGAGATACCCCTCCACTACCACCCAGGAATTCCTAGACCATATTTGAGAACCATCATAGAGGACCCTGAAAGTAAATCAGTGTGATGGCTCATTTTAGATATCAAGTTTACAGGATTTATGAGTACATAGACAGCTGGTGAAACAATATTTCTGTGTGTGTTTGTGAGGGTGTTTCCAGAAGAAATTTTAAGCCTATCTCACTGGTCTAAGTGAAAGATCAACCCTCAATGTGGGTGGGTACCATCCAATCAGCTGAGAGTCCTATAGAACAAAATACCAGAAGAAAGAGAATCTCTTTCTCTCTCCCTTCTTCCCCACCCCACTCCCCAGTACTAGGCAGTCACTTTTTGTCCCTGGACATCAGAACTCCAGGCTCTCTTATATTTCGACTTCAGGACTTGCACCAGCAGTTTCCCATATTCTCAGGCCTTTGGCGTTGGGCCTGAGAGTTACACCATAAGTTTCTTTAGCTTTGAGGCTGTCAGACATGAACTGAGTCATGTTACCAGTATCTCAGTGTCTCCTTGCATGTGGAACTTCTCAACTTTTCAGCCTCCATAAACATATGACCTGATTCTTCTAATAAATGCCTTTCATCTAATTATATCTATTTATTATTATGCATGTGTATATATCTACATCTATTGATATCTCTCTGGAGATCCCTGACTAATATAATCAGGCATCTAAAATGCTGGCTTAATGTTAGTATTTTGGATTTCAGGTAATTCAGCAATCCAGTTGGAAAACTGGGCTGAAAAAAAAATGTAAATAGTCCACAATTATATTGCTATAACTACATATGAAAACATTATGGGAAAAATTGGGAACATGCTTAAGTACCTGATTTGTAAAGATAAAGACACAGTTGTCTATGTTGATATGTACATCTTAGTCTGTTCTGGCAGCCATGACAAAATTGCCAAGAATGGGTGGTTTATAAACAACAGAAATTTATTTCTTACAGTTCTGGAGGCTATCAATTCTAAGATCAGAGTTGCCTCATGGTGGCAAGATGGCTGTTGCATCTTTAGGTCGAAGCTTCAGACTTGAAACAAGAGGAAGGAGGAAGAAGAGGGAGTGTTAAGAGTCTTCCATCTGTTTTAGCCTCCCATTTTAGGATCTCTCTGAGAAGCACAACTTCTACCCTGAAGGCATTGATTCAAACTTAGTCCCTTGGCTTGCCCTATGTAAGAGAGATGGACATGTTGCAATAACAACAAAATGGATTTTATTACTGAGAAAAGTCGGTCTAGATATTGTATAATCGGCCTGCTCTACCACAAAACTTAAAACTGTTATAATATAATTGATTCATATCTGCAAAGCTTACAGCTGAGTCCTGGGAGCTTCAGCTACTTTAGGGGACTGTTTTATGATGTAAATAAAACATAGGCCTTTATTTTTGGTTTATGACTTAAATAATGGTGCACGTAGGTCCCATAGTTTGTCACAGGAACCCCTTACCAAGACATCCTTCATATCTACCTAAAATTGAACCTTACAACAAACTCACTGGCAGCATGAGAAACAAATACACATGAAAATAAAATGTAAACCAAAAAATGAAGATGAATGAAAGTACTTAGTAACACTAAAAATAAAGCTGGTGACTATACTAGTTTTGAGTCACAACAGTGGAGCGTGTGTTTTGTAAACCACAAAAGCAGACTAGAATTACACAGGAAAGTATAATTGTGCTGTGCTTAGAATGTGCTAAAACTATAATCTGTAAATGTGTAACTATTGCAGTGCTCTTTATTATTGTGTATATTTAACCACTCAAATAAGTTTTATATTTGAAAAATATGATGACAGTATCTGGATCTCAGCTTCACAACAACAGAGCTCTTGTCATAGCAGCTTGTGTAGTTTTTAAGTTTTTTGTGCTTTTATTTGTAGGACAAAAGTATCTTGTCTCTAAAAAGGTAGAGATATGATAGGATAAAATGTGGTTCTTTTATAAGAAACAGACACAATTTTTAAAATGCTTATATCTGTAAACCCAGGGGACCTCCATCTGTATCATAGCCACCTCCTGGCATCATCTGCCTGAGCTCCGTCTCCTATCAGATCAGTAGTAGCATTAGATTCTCAGAGAGGTACAGACCCTAAGTAAACTGCACAAGCAAGGGATGTATGTTGCACATTCCTCATGAGAATCTAATACCTGGTGGACTGAGATGGAGCTAAGGCAATGATGCTAGCACTGAGGAATGGCTGCAAATATAGATTATCCTTAGCAGAGAGGTTGCATTATGATAAGTTGTATAATTATTTCATTTTATATTATAATATCATAATAGAAATAAACTACACAGTACAGGTAATGTGCTTAAATCATCCTCTGTCAAGAAGGTTAAATCCATGTGGAAGTTAAAAGAGGGGAGTTCCAGTTGGAGTGTACCTCAGTGGGTGGTTCCCAGAGCCCCAGGTGCAGTGGAGAACTCCCAAGGGAAGATACGTCCATCCATTCATGAGTCCAAGAATCCTGATGAAGGCCTGTTCACTGTAGTTGCCTCAGTGATCATCAGCAGTACCTCCATGGAGAAAGTGTCCTGATGCAGTCACAGACTCCTTTTTGGCTGGGAGAAAGAAGTAGGGATTTTTATACCTGGTCAGTAGAACCAATGCTGAGTTTCTATGTTGACATAACTTCAGTGCCACACCACCTGGAACACCTACCCACATGTAACTTCAAGGCAGAGTTAGCTACTTTTATTTCCTCAGCTGTGCAAAGTTCCTTGCACACTGGCTTATAGATGCCCCCACAAATTTCACCAGATGTGTAAGGACTCTAAAGGCACAAACTCCATATACATCTCAGAAAGAATCCTGTTCTGGGGGCATAGGACAGACATACATCTAAACTAGACAACTATGCCAATGGATATCATTGTCCACTCTGATACAGAGATTTTTCTTTGAGTAGTCAGAAAGTTTACTTTTATTTTCCTAGTTTTCCAAATAGTTAGCTCTTACTGGTTGTTAGAACTTTGTTCGAGTTCCCAGCATCCTCAGGTAAGCAGGTTATCTCATTTATTCCCCCAAATGCTACCTCCAGTTTAGGCAGCAGCATCTCATGTCTAATTCACTTCCATATTTGTTCTCTGTCTCTCCCTGTCCCCTTTAGTTGTCACTGATTCTTATATCTGATTTCTTAATTTTTCTTTCCATCTTAGTAATCTATGTTTACCTTCTGAGAGGCCTTACTGTGAAATAATATGCCCTTCTTTCAAATTCTTCTACTGAGTAGAAATCAGTAAAATTATTTGTTTTAATTTCTTAGAAGAAAACAATTCCAGCTGGGCATGGTAGCTCATACCCTTGGGAGGTTGAGGCAGGCGGATTACCTGAGCTCACAGGTTCAAGACCAGCCTGAGCCAGAGTGAAACCCACCCCCACCCCCCGTCTCTAAAAAATAGCCAGGTGTTGTGGTGGGAGCCTATAGTCCCAGGTACTCTGAGAGGCTGAGGCAAGAGGATCACTTGAACCCAAGAGTTGGAGGTTGCTGTGAGCTATGACACCACGTACTTTATCAGGGGTGACCAAGTGAGACTCTGTCCCAAAAAAGAAAAAAATTATTTTTCCATTTTTGTTCAAATTTTCTCTTTTTTTTTTCTTCTTTTTTTTTTGCAACAGAGTCTTAACTTGGTCACCCTTGGTAGAGTGCCGTAGCATCATAGCTCACAACAACCTCAAACTCCTGGGCTCAAGCAATTCTCTTGACTCAGCTTCCTCAGTACTGGGACTACAGGCGCCTGCCACAACACCCAGCTATTTTTCAAGAAGAAGTCTTGGCTTGGTGCCCGTGGCTCACGCGGCTAAGGTGCCAACCATGTACACCTGAGCTGGTGGGTTCGAATCCAGCCTAGGCCCACCAAACAACAATGATGGCTGTAACCCAAAAATAGCCTGGTGTTGTGGTGGGCACCTGTAGTCCTAGCTACTTGGGAGGTAGAGGCAGGAGAATCACTTGAGCCCAGGAGTTGGAGGTTGCTGTGAGCTGTGATGCCTCGGCACTCTATCCAGGGCGACAGCTTGAGGATCTGTCTCAAAAAAAAGAAGAGGTCTTGCTCTGGCTCAGGCTGGCCTCGAACCTGTGAACTCAGACATTCCACTGGCCTCAGCCTCCCAAGTGCTAGGATAACAGGTGTGAGCCACTGCACCCTGGCTGTGTTCAAACTTTCAAGTGACTACTAACCCTCACTGATTCCCCATCATTTCATCGAGACTCCTATCTATGATTTCTTTAATTCAGTTCTATTACTATACATTTTGCTCCTCATCTTTCTTGATACTTCTGAGTCTGAGAACTATTCCCTACTTCTAGAAAATATCTCCAAGTTTACCACCTAAAACATTGCCTTTTCCTGAGTCTCTCACTCTTTCTTTCTGTAGCTGTTAGTGGAAAAGTACTGAGTCAGAGTGAAAAAAATTATCTTCAAAATTTTCTTCCCTCCTTCAGATAAGGAGGTCTTGGCAGAGGTGCCTGAGGAAAGCCTTTACCAAAGACTTCAGATGAAGAAGCCTCCAAATGGGGATGGTGTCTGGCTTAGAATGCAGTATATACATGAGCGTGCGAACTGA